GGTAGATTCTGGGGCTACCAAGCACATTTGTAAAAACAAAAGTGCTTTTTCCTCCTATACTCCTATAGGGGATGGTGAAGAACAAGTGTATCTTGGCGACTCTCACACAACCAAGGTGCATGGTAAGGGAAAAGTTGTTCTTAAGCTCACATCGGGGAAAACGTTGTCCTTGAATGATGTGCTTCATGTGCCTGAAATTCGCACTAATTTAGTCTCGGTTTCACTTTTGGGGAAAGCTGGAGTTAAGGTGTCCTTTGAATCGGACAAAATTGTGATGACTAAAAATAATGTCTTTGTGGGAAAAGGCTATTGTAATCATGGACTGTTTGTTCTCAATGTTTCTGAAATAATGAATTGAATGTCTTTTGCTTATTTGATTGACTCCTATAATGTGTGACATACTAGATTAATATATGAAAATGATTCTTATATCTAATTGTTAATATATATATATATATAATGAGACAAGAAAATTGTGATGTTTGTGTTCAATTATAATTTTCATTGTGATGTTTGTGATCAATCTAAACCAAAAAAAAAATGAAGTGGAGAGAATCTAATTTTATTTCGGGATTTTCAGTGGCATTCAAATTGTGTTGACCTTTATATCTGTTGATTTCGCGATACGTACTATATGAAACTCCTAAATATTCTAAGATTGATATATAGTGATATGAGAGCACCTCTAGAAAATTGTGATATATTTGATGTTTTATATAAATTTTATTAGAGCATCTACACTGTGTTTAGAGGTGGCAAAAGTTCTTTGTCACATTAATTGGTGATTTTCTGAGATAAACTAAATTTTATCTTATTTAAATTTAAAGGGCGAGTCTTATTTGATAAAATCATTGTGTACAAATAAAGGTTGAGATATAAATTATCTCTCTATGAAGTCTAGAATGGTTATGCACCTGTTTATAAATATTTAAAATTGTGGGGGTGCTTAGTTTAATTTTTATTATCTATCTCTTTGAATGAAAATGAGCTTTATAACTCTTTGCTACTTTTGCATAAACTAAAACCGTGGAGCACATATATAATTTTTCTTAAATTGAAGATATGGTGTGCTAATGTGCATCCAAATTATTGGATGTTTATTACATTTTATAAATTTTACTAGGCCCGACATAGTTTGTGTTGTCGGAAGATTGAGCCGATATACTCATGACCCAAGTAGGGATCATTGGACCGCGTTGAGGCGGTTATTGAGATATTTGAGACGTACCATTAATTATGTTTTTTTTTGAGATTATGCATTGTAATCTATTGATACAACGATGATATGTTTTATTGAGAAATATTCATTGTTCTAGAGCGGTACATTGATGTTATATGAGAATTATCCATTGTACTATAATGATACAATGATGGTATATATTTTATTGATAATTATCCGATGTACTAGAGGGTCACATCGATGTTATATTTTGTTGAGAGTTATCCGTTGTATTGCCGGGATACAACGACGGCATCTCAGTATACTCAAATGAGATAAATTAAAATAGTGGATATCCATTCACCCTTAAAAGTGGTGCAATGATGTTTGACAATGGAATTATTTCCATTAATTTTGTGAAGTCAGAAGGAATTAGCTACTCCTTTGACAGAATCCCTAGGGCGAAAAATGATAACCGAAACATCGAAGGAAATGGGACTAGTGTCACTTTGAAACAAATGGGGATGGGAACCCAACTTGTGTGATTGGAGATCCCATGAAGCAAGTTCAAATGGGTAATAACTAGTCTTCCATTTAGTTCTGCTAGCCTAACTAAATTTGTCCATTTCCATGATGTGAGATACAGGCTAGAAACCGCATTCTCTGTGAGGGTGAGCTAAAAGCTCTTAATGATTATCATAGCTCTGAATTTTAGGGTGGTGTGCAAAAGCGGTACACACTTGATGATATCACCTATATGAGTGTGAGGTGGGGCCGCCTCCATGAAGCATGACAAAACTTCTAGAGCACTCATGAACACCAAGCACGCGCATGGCCTTACGGCGCACAACGGCGTAATAACGAGAAATTGTGCGGGGTGAGACATGACCGTTAAGATCCTTATTTACCAATAGTAGCTTATTGGTTGTGTCTTGTGGGTATGGAATGCACAGGTGCACACTTGAAGAATGTCTCTTTTTAAATAAACTGTAAGTTATTAATGACTTTTTTCATTTTAATTATTACGTTTATTAGTAACTTGTATTGTAAGACAAATTGCTTGCGTTTAAACTTGAAAAAAGGCCCAAATTTTATTGTTTCACAGGGCCTCCGTTTTCTCAGGACCAGCCCTGACCCTAATGTAGATCATCTGAGTTGGTATAAAGTAATGTAACTACAATTCATTTGAGGGCCAGCCTCATTAAGAAAGTGATCGAAATTGTAGGTGTAGTTCTTTAGATTCTACAGATTTAGGTCCTCTCATTTTCTTAGAGAATTCTGTCGATTTCACTTAAAAGTAAATTATGTTGAACTTTGTAGATTTTAAGCTAAAAAGATACTCCCTCCGTCACAGAATTTACTTCCATAGTACAAATGACACAAGGATTAAGAAAATGGGAATTGTGTGGTGGAAAGTTGTCCAGAGGAGAGAGAAATGTGTAAGAATGTGTAATAATTGTTGTGAACCACAAATTCTTTGCCAAAAGGGAAAGAGAAGTTCTTTTTGGGACAGACGAAAAAGGAAAGTGGAAGTAAATTATGGGACGGAGGGAGTAATATATATCAAGTATCAACTCATATCCAGCTTCCATAGGGAGATTTGCAATTTGAGAGACCATAATTTTTCGTTGAACTCCTTATTGATCATGTAACTTTAATCACTTTAATTAATAAATACATTCATCTTAATGACTTACAACTTGAAAGTACACTTTCAGGCAAAAAAATACCGGAAAAGACGTAAGGAGCATCAAAATTTCCGTCAAAAAGTGTATTTCTCAATAGAAAAGTCATTAATATGGATAAATTTATTAATTAAGGTACTAACTAAAAGAAAATCTGTGATGTTGAAGATTACTCATAGGTTATTTCATCAACGGTACGTGCTTAAATTAATGTAAACGAATCTAAACTTATTTTAGAAATAATTATCTTAGCTTATCTGGTTATTCAAAATTAAATTTAAATGTATATAGCTCAATAATAATTCAAAACGCAAGCTAAACAATATGAAGTGAAGGTTTGACGAACTTTCGTTTCAAATAAATTCGGTATTATATTAGCATAAAGTTTAACATATATATCTGGTTCGGCCTAATTAACCATATTATGTTGTCCGGCTACACACTGTCAAGTCAGACCATGTAAAGATGCTGACTGTCTTTTATTTGAAGCTTGGGATGCATTCGGTCATGCGTGCATCTTCCTACCCTCCCGCCTTCCTCGTGAGAAAGGGGTGCTACTAAGAAGAGATCTTACGCAGGTACGGAGCCAGGGCACTGTGCTGGATTGAGTCGGTACAAAGAATATTTTTGAAAAAATATTTACACGGAATTCTTTTACACTAAAAATATAAGCATTTTTTAGATTTGGGTTGGGCCGAAGCCAGGGTTGACCCCCTAGCTAACGTCCGTGGTCCTCGAGTTCAATGCAACACAAAGACTTGAGTTGGAGTCTCACTCTATCTCCATTAGTCTACGATCAAATTTTAATTTCCATCCTTCCAAAATAATTGTCGGGGTGATCGTGAAATTCTCAGGAATTGAATGTCTTTTTGTACATTTATAATCATAAAAAAAGGATGACGCGCCGTCTCTTAAGACCCTAACATCGGTCAGACAATTAACTAAGAACTAAGAAGATATAAATTGGACTTAAATCACAGACATGCAGATAGCATGTGAAGCTCTGGTCGAAGTACTTGCAGAGACACAAATTCAAATCGAGACTTACCTCTTGCAGCACCCTTATCTACTAGATGAGCTAAACACATCTTTTATAATCATACATACATGTATAGTGTGCAATGCAAAAAAGACACGTCTCCTGAAATTTTACATGGGCCCATATACGGCAATATGGTGGGGGTACTAACTTAATGTCCGCATCCGTACCAAATTTGGGACATACAGAAGAAATAATGGCTCTCTTCTAATGTCCATCAATTTCGATCTCATGCATAGACCCATATATACAGGAAAAGACATTTCGTTTTGTGATAACAATTATGTCATCCATATTACCTCTATTTATGGGTGGACTCGGGCCCGGAACCGGCCCGGCCCACTACTGTGCGGACCCGGCCCGGTGAACCGGTTTCGGGTCCGGTTCGGGCCAACCGGCCCGGTGGGATGGCAGTTCGGGCTCGGGCCGGGCCATTTTTTTTTTTTTGAATTTTTTTTAAAGTTTTTGGGTTGGGCTGGGTATTTTGGGCCATTTGAGGTGGTTAGGGTTGGTTTGGGGGTGAGGGGGGGGGGGGGGGGTTGGGGATTAACTAGGAAAAGCCAAAAAAAAATAGAACCGAGGCCCGGCCCGGACCTGGGGGTTACCCAGGCCGGTTCCGGGCCTCCCCTTCTTGAACTGAGGCCCAGCCGGGCCCGAACCGGAACCGGTCCATGCCTACCTCTATTCTCTAGAGAGCTTTATACTTTTCAGAATTTGAGGAATTCCAATGTTTTATTAAAGGATTGCAAGTTTTTTTAGGCAGACTAGCCCCAATACTCAAAGTTTCAGGATTAAGATCCAGCTTGGGCTGTACGCCTGTACAATAGGTTGAGGGATAGATTGCAATCTTCATTTTATATAGATAGCACTCATCTCCCTACATTGCTTGAACATTTTTTGTAGGTACTGGATTATTGCCCATATTCATTCTCTTATTAAGAACAGACACGATTTACAATCTCTATTTTTAAGTAAAATAATTTCACTCTTTTTTCCTAGCATCTTGTGTCTGTTCAAAATGGATAATATTTTTAAGAAGGAAGAGACTGACATGCAATGAGACTAACACAGAAAAGATCAAAGCTAGTGTTGGAACATCACAAATATGGTAAGTACAGGATGAGCCAAGTTATCTATGAATGTATAGGAATCAGATTTAACCACACTGTCCGAAACAAGTCTCGGTTTGATCAAGGTTATCAAGCTTTTATTTTCAAAACTAAATACTGCTAAGAATATGTAGTCAGTACTAACATTACCAAAGTAAAAAGTTATACAGCACAGTAATATATCTGTCATCTATGCTAGCAAACAACACAACATATCTAAAGATTCTAATCACTCCACCTCACAAAAAACAGATGAAGTCACAAAGCAACCCCAGAAAGCAAATGAAGCCAGGCAGTAATATAGTAAGCAGTTTCCTAGAGCAGCAGCACTGCGTGTTTGCCCCTGCGAGTAATTAACCAATTTAAACCGCTGCAGACTTCCGTCACCACGCAAGTAAAAGGTAGCTTATTGATCACAATATACTTAACAATACCTTCTATTGCTCTTGTTGACTCAGCCCCATTAGAACAAGCTCAATCCGTTCTAACATCTCAAGAAGGTCTACAACTGCCTAAAGAAAATTGGATCTCATCGAAGGTCTATAACATCGCAATAAGGTCTATAACTGCCTAAAGAAAATTGGATCTCATCGGTTGGGTGATACAGCTTCATTGTTTAAGGAAATGTGTAAAGCAAGTACTAGTTACGTTCTACCACCAGTACTGTCATACGCAACAAAAGGCTTACAAAAGCCTTCAATTCAACTCGTGCCTCTATCATCTCTTTCTTTATTATCATCTTTATTTACTTAATTTATGAGACTGTACATTTCTTGAAATGCTTCCAACCTCACACCCTTTGTGAGGAAGATGTCTCTAGTGTCGCGCTGTAGTTTTATTTTTTTATTTTGCACCGATGATGCTTTTATTTTCTGTAGGACAAGGATTTACAAGGAGGTATTGAAGATTTTGATTGTGTGAGTTGAGCTTTTGTTAGTGCCTTAGTGGTTGGAGGTGAAGGTGATGTCATAGGACAATGTGAAGTTATTACAAAAGACACATTTGCTCTCAAATTCAGACATTCTGTAAAATCAACAAAGCTAAGTGAAAATCACATTAACCTGTAAAATAAGATTTCAGGAGCCAAAACTATGAGAGAGAAATGCTAACATTAGTGGTTCTTTATTTTTAACTGTGGTCCGCCTCTTAGATTGGGTCTTCTAATGGAAAAATTGTCTTCAATGTGGGTACATATTAGTGCAAGTAGTCTAGCTTGCTAGTGTTTAAAAAGGAGAAGCAATATAGGCACTCAAATGAAGCTGAGATTGGATCCAATCAACTAGGTGGTGTTGAACTTCCCACAAAATCGAAGGCATTTATATAGGTTATGGATATCATAGTTACCGATTAATCAAAGCTTTGTTATCAACAATGACCTCAGAATTTTTCAAAGAACATCATATTTTTTATGCCCCGTTGTCCAGGTTATGTCTGAGACAATAGTAACCAGAACAATATGACCAAGAGTGTCCAACAATGAAATTATCAAGTCAGCCAGTCAGCTATGGGGGGAAATGAAATCACCAGCATGCACTATGCACCATGAATAATTTGACCATGCACCTGCAAGCAGTTAGCTTGAAATTAAAATTTTCAAATCCATAACATTTACATTTTTTCTCTTGAATAATAGGCTTAGGCCATTGATCTACAACCAATCAATTATGAACAACTACAATCAATTAACAAGTCCAGAGGAAAATAAAACTAGTCAAGAAGAAATAACCCAATGTGCAGAGTTACGAACAAAAAAGAAGGAAGTTAATAGAATTACTGAATAAGCAAATAGCACATCCTGTAAAGCTCTTTGATTACAAAAAAGGGAAGAGGCAGTTCAATTTCGATGAGAATAGATGCTCAGAAAGGACGTTGCCCACCTCACAAATAATGCAAAATACTGAGGGAAAAAAAGAATGCGAGAATTCAGAAAATAAGCAAGAAATTAATGATACATGGAGGTTTATAACCTAATAGAAGAGGTTCCCTCGTGATTCTGAAGACTAAAAAACAACTACAAATAATGTCTTTAGTTTTCTTCTATTTTTTAATAAAAGTGGGGAAATAAGTAGAGAAGTGTATGTTAGTTGCGTGAAAAGAAAATGGTATAATGGCAGTGAACACATGGACAGATCTGGACTATACAGCTCTTGCCTTCCTGTGATGGAGGATTGGAGCCGCAGTCTTCACCTATCGGTTGCTTCGGATTTGCACCTCGCTAGAACCAAAGAGTGAAAGACCCGACCCAACTAACTTCGTAAGTTAATAGATTAACTAAAAATACTTAAAAACTGATCATACTGATTACCCATTTTTGTAAAGTGTAGGGTTAGGTCTGAGCCTTGCATTATGAGAGGCTGAACTGCTCTGCTCCAATTATTTCTAATAGAAAGAGGAACTTATCATAACTCACCTCAAACCAGGATCCGCCCTCACCAACTATTCCAGTATTCATCTGCTCGCCCCTAACTACAATGAGTTGCTCAGATCCAGAACCAACTGTGTCACTAATACTTGAAATTATAGAGTAACACTTATAAATCATCACCCTTCAATACATAACTTGAGTATTTATATCTACAGATAATGCTGAAAATGGTGTGGGCCAAGTTACTTCCGCCATCTGATCGGTCACATGCTTTAATCACTATGGCAACATGGACAGGTAGTGGCGTGGGGGAGAAGTCATATAAATCATTTTATAATAAAAATAATCATTGGAATGAATTATACATACAATGTACTGATAATTGATAAATTGTAATTTTCACTATCTAGACGTTTTTAATTGAAAAGTAACTTAAAGAGTACTGTTTTAAAACCAAAGAAACAAAAGTAGAACTTTAAGCATAAGGCAACTGCAAAAGAGAGGATGACTATCGCATACTAAGGAAGAAGCATGACGAGGAATCATTGTACATATGGCTTGCTATCCCAAGCCACCCTTGCTTCAAGCAAGTATGGACAGTATCTCTTTGCCAAAATCTCGACTTGTTCGGCAAACGGTTTGTTTTCATGGTTACTGATGTGACGAACCATCTGCTTCCAACGCTTCAGAGTTACTTCACCAGACCTGTGCTCGAGAATGTTGTCCCAGTCCACATTTTCTATACAGCTTCCATCCAATTCATAGAGAGCACCCACCAATCTATAATCATCAGAATCTGCCCACTTGCCTTCGGCAACCAAAGGTGATGTTAAGTGGCGGTACCATTTGTCACAACACCTTGTGTTATTTCGCGAGGCCAACTTGTCACTTATTGCGATCCAACAGATGTTGTCACGCAACATACCGTGTCTGGACTTCTTCTCCTCAGAGACCTTCAGTTGCAAATCGATATTCACTAAATCAAACAAAGTTTGGTACTCCTCTTGAGACCAACGGCCCTTCTTCAAATTGGGAAGCCTTATTCTTCTAAGCCATGCATTAAAGATGTGAGTTCTGTACTTTCCAAGTTCCTCAGCCATGTCTGCCCACCGATTCCCATGTTTTTCATGATACTTTTTTACGAATTCGTACTCTTCTTCAGTCCAAGGGATTTCGCTTTTACGAAACATCTTTTGAGCACGATTGTAAACAGCTCTGTAAGGTCGGTGAGGAAGGGCAGACCCTATTTGTTTCCAACAGCCTTTCAGGTTTGGCAAGGATTTGCAGTTTAGAACCATATTCAGCCCATCATCACCCAATTCATGCTTCTCTATGTACTTAGAAACAGCTTCTTTGATGATCTCATCTTCTACTTTTGAGAATCGCTTCCCTTGAACTAATTCGTCCACTTCCTTGTTTTTTCCCTTTACCTTTTCAGGAACACTTACAACTGGACAAACCTCCAACTCATCAACAAATCGCACTCTTTTGTTTTTTCTGGGGTTTGCATCTTGGGGATCACATTCACCCATTTTCTCCTTGATTATACTCTCATTTTCAGAAGTTCCGAGACTTTTTGTCTGAATATCATCCAAATCCGCACAAACATCATTACGTTTCCTTTTATTCTCCTTCTTCTTCTTCTTCTTATTCTTTTTCATGGCCATCCCTATACTATCTTCACTGCACTCATCTGCGAGTTTTTCCTTCTTGCCAATGTCACTTTGCATCATCTTAGTTTCAAGTGAATGTGCATTATTTTCACTGTTTAAATCAAAAGTATTTTTTATCTCATCCACATTGTGTTTAACATTTCTCTTCCTTTTCTTCATTTTCACTTGACTTACACAACATCCACCAACCTCCTCACCTATTCTTCTGTCATTGTCTGCTGAACCTTCCAAGACCTTCTTTGTCTTTTTCTTTTTCTTTTCAAAAGCCTCAGTCGACTTTCTCCTCTTGATGAAATGTCCTTCCTCAAAAACTTTGTGCCCCTTCTTGTTCTTATCCTTTGCAATGTGATCCAAATGGATTACTTCTAAACCATTGTTTGTATTTTTCTTTTCTGTTTTATTAAACTTTTTATGCCTCATCCCTGATTGCTTGAGAAAAGTAGCTCCCTCATCTTCAGCATCCATGCCTACTGCCTACACTAACAATAGTTACTAAGAAGAGATTCACGCCATTTAGTCTTTAAATTCACGCAGTCCATAACTCCTAGTTATTTCATAATTAAAATAACTAGAACAAAACATATTACCATCATCATTGTCTATATGGTGCAGTCTTTTCAAATAACGAAAAAACGAAGTAAACTGTCGATCTTAAAGTCTTAAAATTGAAACCCCTAATCTTAGGAACAAACAACTTACAGGAGATCGGGAAAAAATGATCATCTGTTTGGAAATAAAACAAATGAGCAGCCAGTTCGACGTCAAAATCTATATAGAGAGCAAAGAATGAGTCTTACTGCAATTAAGTTCACGAATGAGCAGCCAGTTGGACGTCGTAGTCGACGGAGACAGGCAGGTCGTCGACGGCAGGGATCGCTAAGGGCTTTGCGTTGGAAACTTTCGAAAATTGACGAGATTGGGTTCAACTTTCGACGAAATTGGGCTTTAACGCTTTGGTGTATAAGCAGGCCTCTAGCCGAAACTATTTGTTTGGGGTTTTCAACATTCAAACTATGTTGTAAAAACGGGACCTGTGAGTGACCCGAACATACACATGGAAGCTCAAGTAGTTTTTTTGAAATGCATACTAGAAAAATTTATTAAATTAGTTCAAGCTTATAGAAGAAGTTTCTCCATCCAAGATGTCCATTATTTAAAAAAACTGCTTAAAAAATTAATGACTACAAAGTAATACACATTTAAATATAAATAATACAATCCAAGAATTGTATTCTCTGAACTCTGCCTTCCTTCTATCATCAAAATTCAGTGGATTTTTACGATGAACTATACCTACAACAAGCAGAACCAGTTTTTTATTAAGTAAAAATTCTGTCAAACAACCAAAAATATCATTGGTTTTTCACAATGTACCTATTAATTTTCATCAATGACAATAACTTCCTTAGGACGATCACCCAAATGTGCTGAAACTATGCCATTGAAATTCTTGATATGAGCTGCATACGGGTCTCCCACCCAATTGCGGATGGAAGTCTAAAATGAATCCAATTTGCACGCATAAGGATCCATTGAAACCTACAATGCATTTATAAAATAATGTTACATTATTAAAATTAATATAGTCAATGTAGAATATCAAAAAGTGCATAGTAAAAATTAGAATACATAGTAATAAGTTATATAAGTACTTGAACAAAGTGATTGCCATTTACAAATCCTAACACTAAGACATCATGATGTTGTTCTAGAGGTGGCTTAGATCGAAGTGGAAGAAATGTCACACACACTGACTTAGAAAGGTAGACCAACACCACGTTATATCTAGAAGCAATCAAATGAACCATATCTGGTAGAGTCATCCAATTCTTATACGGTGTCGGAGCTCTGAAATAAGACAATTCTTCAAGTAATTTAGCAACATCTTCCGCAGACATAGAGTTTAACATAATAAGGTCGATGGTTGCAGAGCTCTTCAATCAACTCTACATGAACTTTTGCCCACTTGCCTTCTCCAAAACCTAGTAAACAAGAAATAACACGAAATCCACAATGTCCATCTGGCTTGACATCCATTATGTCAAATATATATGGGTGTAAGTGTGATGGAAAACAATCCAAGTAATTTAGAAGACTTTTGGATTTTTCCCCAACAATTTTCGTCCTCCCTTTTTTTAATGGAACACATTTTTTACTTAATTCATAGTCACGCTTAGCAACTTATAATTCAACAATTTCAAAATATGAGGGGTCACGTCGAGTTGAGGATTTTTCTTTCATTGAATGACGACCCTTTGTCTTGGCTTTTTGGGGTGGTGGTATTACGATTGTTGTTGCTGGATCACCTAATTCTCTTAACTTTCTCTTCAATATCAGCTTTTCGGTCTGATCAGACTGCTCAAATCGTGTCCACATAGAACTCATCTCGTTGTCAATACTCACTCCAAATGAAACCTCACCTTCTTGATGTCTTTGCAAGTTTAATTTCATCCAATGAAGGTTAATATCTGAAATAGGAATAGATCGAGCATGTTGCACATGTTCCACAATTTCATGTGCACAAGGCAAGTCATGTGTGCTTCTCATGACACACCCACACAATTTGACATCGTTGCCAACAGTAGTTACTCTTTCAGACTCCATCAGAATCAAGTTTAGTGCCTTTCTTGATACTAATCCGCGCAAGTCCTTAAATAATTTCGGTCTGAAATTTTGTTCAATCACATATAGACTTTGCTCAAATGAAGCCCTAATTTCAGTGTGTTGCAACTCAATTAAAGCATTGATTATCGTCCAAGAGCAATCGAAGTCCAATTGACTTGAGCCAAGCCATTTCTTCAACTTTGCATGTGCACTCTCAGGTCTGCACAAGGTAAAGAGAAATAAATAATAATATTTTAAATGAATTTAATAAATTTAAAAGTTGGAAATATATTGAATTTGTCCATCATACCTATTCATTGTCAAATTACCAAAATGCATCATTTCATTGGTCGAGGCTTCTACAAATCTCTCTTTATACGGATCCAACCATGTATCTCTCACATACTCAATGAGAGTATGATGCCCCTAGTAGTCACTTTGATGAGCATCGAAGTTGTTAGCATAGTCCTTTTCATCTGAAGAAAATATCAAGACATTCCAAGCTGCCATGAAATCGTTAGACTTTTCTTTGCATTTAAATTACCTCTTAGGATTTGCAAGCACATTTTTTGTGTTATGAAATCTGCAAAAAAGGTTTTTCGTTTCTGGGAAACATTGTCTTAATAGATTTCATCAATGTCAAGTCTCTATCAGTGACTATTGCATTAGGCATGGTACTGGGAAGTGGGATGACATCAGTGTTTTTAACTCTTCCATGGCCCATGTGTAGTTTTCTTCACGCTCAGCCTCCATGCACACAAATGCTATAGAAAACGTAAAATTTGTACATGTCACACCAACTATCTCTAGCAATGGAAATCCATATCGGTTTGTTTTATAGATAGAATCCATAAGCAAAACTAATTAAAAAGCATGTAAAATATTCACAAGAAGCATGATGTGCTCAAAACAAATCTGGCAAACAATCAATTGAATCATTTCTCCTATATCATTCCACATAGCAGAAATCATTAATTTTTTCATAAGTTGTTGCATTTGTGATCGTCTGGCTTTCACAATCCTCCCATGTTTTTGATGAATAAACATATAATTGTATACCAATTAAAATAAAAGGTAATTATTTCATTATAATTAACTAATAATAATACTTACTAAACACATAAAAGTAAAAAAAAAAGCCTCATAGTATATCAAAATGGCACTAATAATAATACTTACTAAATACAAGTAAAAAAAGCCTCATAGTATTTCAAAATACCATTTTGATCTTATTAAAATATACTGAGTATAAGGATACTCCACTTTTATTATTTGACATGATTTTTATTTTTAAACAAATAAGTAGTATATAAATATATCGCATTTTTTAGGGTGTTGAAATTGCAATTTTATTGGTTAAACATGTTTTTTTTTAAAAAAATGGAAAACAACTAAAACCGGGGTTTTACGAGTTTATCGGGGTTTTCAGGGTCCGGGCTTGGATCGGGTTTTGCCTAGTCGGCTGGTTTTTTCTGATTTTTGACAATTTTCGGGGTTTTAATTAACCGAACCAGATTTCGGTTTGGATCGTCGGGTTCCGGGTCGACCCGGCCGGATCGAGTCGGTTTTTTAAAAATAGTTTACGTAGTGAATTACTCCGTAGAGTTTAAGGTCTATTAGTAAAAAGAAACTCCTATATAATCTATTCTTGAAAAGAAATTGAGAAGTGACAAAAATGATATTAATTTCATTTTTTTTGTTTATTTGTGTAAAATTCCCTAAATAGTATTGGTGATAATAGACTGAACCTAAACCGAACCTAATGGGCTGATAAATTGCCCGGACAGGGTAATTGATTAAAAAAATAGAGAAAATTAAATGTTTTTTATGATGAGTGGGATGTATTTAAGCGATTTGATGATCCGCCCCCTCCAATTCATCGTACTATCGCACAGTAAACATGATCTAGAACATCAAACGGAGTTCTTCAATCGGCGAAATTTCTGAAGCAAGCCGCTAGCAATTTACCCAGTACCGTAGCACCCCCCTCCGGCGACGATGTAGTGTCGTCTGAAACAAGGTCAAATTGGGCAGCTCATTCGGCGGAATTTATTGAAGTACGAATCGTTAATTACGCAAGTAAGAATCATTCGCAGTTCTCCATTCCTTCGCGTTCCGTCTGAGAGTATGATTTACAAGATTAGTTTTTTTTTCTTCAATTTTATCAATCGTATGTATTTTTGTTGTTGGAGCAATTGTATTGATGAAATAAGCAGCCTATATGGGTTAAGTTTGACTTTATTAAAGCCATGCCAATTGGAAGTCCTGAAATTATATAAATATTGAAAGCTTCTTTATATATGACTTCTTGAATTGTTAAATATAATCAGCATTGGGTGTGAATTGCTTCTCTAGAACTCTTGTTTTTGTAGGCATGGCCATAAAGGATGATGATGCAACGGGAATGCTCAAGCAATCAGAGATGAGGTCTAAAAACTTGAAGAAAAATGAAGAGAACAAAATAAGCAATGGTGTGGAAGGTCTCCATTTTCGGCACATTGAAAATGATGAGGAAGTTCAGAGACATAATATTTGTGTGGAAGGAAGTGTTACCCTTACGAGGGAATGGGCTAAAGATGTTGAAAAGAAAAAGAAGAAACGGCAGAGAGATGTTATGTGCAATGTGAATGAGTCACATCCAGGGAGCAAAGAGATAAAAAATACTGTTATTGTAGGGAATGAAGATGATATACATTCAACTGTAACTAAGCTGCTGGAAAATGACATCAGTAAGGAAAAACTCACAACTGAGTGCAATGGAGGTAGCATTGAGATGGCCCGGATAAAGAAGAAGAAGAAGATAGAGAAAGGAAAGAAGAATAAAGATTCTTGTGCTGGTTTAAAAGATACTGGGACAGAAAGTCTTAAAACTATTGAAAATGAGAATATTAAGAGGAGGAATATGGCTAAAAATGTTTCAAAAGATACAAAACCTCAAAAAAACAAAACAGTGCAATTTGCTGATGACTTGCAGGTTGTTCATGTTTTTGATGTTCCTGAAGAGGGTGGTGCCGCAAAAAACAAAGATGTCAAATTAGTTCAAGGTAAGCGGTTTTCAAAAGAAGAAGATGAGATCATCATGAAAGCTGTTTCTAAGTTCATAGAGAAGTACGATTTGGGTGACGAAGGGCTGGAAATGGTTTTAAACTGTCAAGCTTATCCAAACTTGAGGCACTGTTGGTACGAAATTGCAACTGCCATTCCATACCGACCCTATAAATCTATTTATTATCGTGCTCGAAATATTTTGTGGAAAAATGATAGCCCATGGACTAAAGAAGACTACGAATTTATAAGAGCATATCATGAAAAACACGGGAACAAATGGACAGCTATGGCTAAGGAGCTTGGCAAATACTCATGTCATGTCTTTAATGCATGGATGAGAACAAAGTTGCCCAATATGAAGAAGGGGGGTTGGTCACAAGAGGAGTACAAAACATTATTTGATTTAGTGAATATGAATCTGCAATTGAAAGTTTCAGAGGAGAAGAAATCCAAGCATGGTATGTTGCGTGATAATATCAGTTGGATTGCAATAAGTGAAAAATTGGCCACACGAAATAACGCATCGTGTTGTAGTAAATGGTATCGTCAGTTGACATCGCCTTTGGTAGCTGAAGGTAAATGGAGTGATTCAGATGATTATAGGATGATAGGTGCACTGTATGAATTAGATGTGAGCTGCATAGAGAATGTGGACTGGGATAACCTTCTTGAGCACAGGCCTGGTGAAGTATGTCTGCAGCGTTGGAAACAAATGGTTCGTTACATAGGTAACTATGGCACCAAACCATTTTCTGAACAAGTTGAACTTCTGGCACAAAGATACTGTCCCTACTTGCTTGAAGCAAGGGAGGCCTGGGATAACAAGCCATATGTAGCATAACGGAAGCATTCCCTTCTTTTTACTGCAAAAACTGAGATATCTGTTTTGCTGTTGACTTGTAACTTAAATCTTAAATAGCAAGTCTCTGTTTTTACTTTTAAGGCTACCATGAACAATTATTTTAATACGGGTTGTCCTTTTGCACTTGATGCTTCAATTACCAACATGGGTTTAAGCTAAAAAAGTAAAAAGTAAAAGCTTGATAGAGGTCATTTTCTCCAAGAGGGGAGTCTACGGAGTAATTAGTTCTGGGGTTGTGCGGGGAATGGGAACTTGGGAAGGGAGGATTGCTTTTAATCACACTAAATCTATGTCTATTTTTTTACTTAGGCTAAATTTGAAAAAAGTAGAGAGATTAAAGTACCTATATGATTACATACAAAGGAGTTTTTTACTTCCTTTTATTTTGAACTATCTAAATGTAAAAATAATGTAAACGAAATATTACTCCTTCATTACTTTTCCTCAGATGGCCGAAATAGTCTTCAGTCCAGTGACACCAGTGGCGATGTTGCAATTTACTGTCCTTATATTTACTTCCCTTTTGTTAGTTTTCATTAATGCGGTTACAGTCTGTTTTTAAATTTACTTTTTCATCAAATTTGGTTAATTGTATGCCTAAGGATTTGCATCTGAATAGTAATCATGAGTACATTAGTCATTTTGTAAAGATAGTTTTACCACTCCAATATTATAATTTCAAAAATATGAATGCCATCGCAGCCCAATTTTCTTAATAATATGGGAGATTTCCCAAAATATGAGTAAATGGAGTGTGAAATTTCAAAATAGGATTACTATGTTTTTATTCTCGAAATAGGACTAACATGACAATATTTACTGTCATCTTGTAGGCGTGACTATCAAATAGTTACAGTAGAGTGAATTTAAAATGACAGTATTTATTATAACTAATGACAGTATTTTTTAATTATGACAATATTTTTCGTGCATGGCAGTAAAAACTCCTATTTCGGGGAGAAAAACATAGTAATCCTATTTTGAAATTCCAAACCTCATTTACTTCTATTTAGGGTAATTTCCGAATCATATATGACTAAAGTAGCCTCTATTACCGGGTTTGATTAGAAAAAGTGGTGTTCTACGAGTATTAGGATGTTTTTACTTGGATTGGAATTTTATGGTTTGATTTGGTATGGTATGAACGGGTCTAGTCTGATAAATGTCTGGTCTCTGTGTATTTCATGACTATCCAAGTCTAGTATGATTTCGTCTGATCTGATCTACTCTGGGAGTGAAAATAGTCCAAGTAAAAACATCTTTAATGCTTAAGAATGTCTTTGTCTTTATTTGCCTTCGTTCAATTTCTATACACCTATAGCTTTTATTTATTTTAGTTAATTCTAAAACCTTAGATCAATAAATCACCAACTTCACTATGTGAGCACACTAATTTTATTTTAAAAACAGTATACAATTTGTAATCAAGTTAATTATTATTCACACTTATCCCTTCCCTACTCTTCTTCTCGAGGTGAATTCAAACTAATGCTCGTTTAATCAACAAAAGTCGGATTAATCTATCAATAAGAAAATACACTTTTGACATCTCGGTCTCCACTAATCTTTGACAAAGTTCAGCCATTGTAGACAAATCCACCAACTTTGGATGGTTTAAAACATTGAAATTATAATGTTGCAATTGAAACCTCAAGCTCACCTCTCCTACTCATGAAAATCAAATTGGTAATATTTATCCATTAAAGAACGGATATCATCAATGTTAAAGACTTAAAGGGCTTATATGAGTCCTTAGGATCCAAAGCACCACTAAGCCAGGGATATGCATCTCTCTATATGATCAAATTTCCCACATTTAGTCCCATGAGTATTATCAAGTTGACATTTTTACTCCTTCCACTATGATTTTGACACAATAAGTTGATGACTAAAAATGTCACCAATATAGTAGTTGAAGGACCAAAAGTGTCACTTCTATGAAAGCCGTAGGACTAAATATGGAAATTTGCAAATACGGGTACCAAAAGTGTCTCTAACACAATAGTTTAGTACTAAAAGTGAAAAAGTCAAAGTCGAGTATCAAAAGTGTCAATGACATAATAGTAGTCGGAGGACCAAAAGTGGTAAAAACTCTTCAAATTACAAGCCACTCTGATGGTGGAAAACAACAACGGATATGCAGTCCCGGAAAAGTGTTTGTTATCGGTGTTCAGAAGTTGGAATTTAATTACTAGTGGAGGAGGGAGTAACTTCCAGAGCGGGATCAGTCAGGACAGGGCTCTCTTGGGGGGGGGGGGGGGGGGGGGGTTCAGGGTTCTTCATCAAATTGGGCAGCCCCCGGGTCTAGGCAGAGAAGGAGAGATCTCTCTTCTGCAGAGCCTTATAAAGGGACTTCTGCATGCCATACTGGTCCCCTCTTCGTCCAACCTGGCCTCCCCCTCTGGAGTTAGGAGCCAGTCTTGGGCCATCTGAGCTCGTCGACCAAGCAAGATCTGCTCCACTTCCGCCCTGGAAACCTCGCTCTCTCGGAAGGTCTGAACCGCACTCCTCAGCTCCTCCTCTATGATCTGGTGAGCAACCTCGACATCATCCAATCTCTTCTGCGAGATCCTGGCCTCCTTCACAGCTGTCACCCTGGCCATCTCCATCGTTGCCGGGCTCTGCTCCAGGTCTGCCACTGCCTTCTTGAGGTCTGCAAGCAAGCCCTGAGCCTCATCATGCTCCTCATCCGAACGGCGGAAGTCGGAGGCAGCGAGCATGAAGGCCTAAAGCAGAATAGCCATTCCATATGATGGATAAATTCATAAAACCCTAAAGCAGAACAGCCATTCCATATGATGGATAAATTCATAAAACCCTAAAAGCAGCAATGACAATGAGACTAAAAGGAAGTTTACCTCGGAAATAGTATGGACGGCCCGCCGGATAGCAGCCCGAGGAGTCAAGCCCTTTATCTCCTCTGCATCAGCAGGAGGGGTGACAGCCAGGGACAAAGAGACAGGGGTTCACCGTGCCGCAAAACAAGGAGGTCGAGCCTGAGCGCATAGTCAATTTGATAGTATGAAGAGGTGTTGGGTATCCCCTTGACTGTCACCCTCCAAGGACCGCGTGTCAGAGTCAGAGTCAACATCAACAATTTCATCAGAAGGTTTCACCTCAGCTCTAGTCTTCTTTCCCTTAGGCCCGGAGATGGGCTGGGATGTCAGCCTCTTCCCAGTCCCCTGGTAGTGGGAGGCCGGAGGTCAGCAGCTGGTGTTGTAAGAGTCGCAACACCATCTCCGTGGGCAGGCCCACCTGGCTTCTCTGGGGCGGCCTCAATAGCGCCCCGGGTCTAGATCTTTCTAACCGGGACCATGGAACCAGGGATGGGCCCCACTCTAGACGCAAGCCATTCCAGTCGGGACGCCATCCTTCCGCCTTCTGAATCAAAACAAAAGAGCAGTCAAGATCGGTTGGCACATCAATTAAAAAGAAAAAAGAGAAGAGAAAAGACAACTACACGATCAGGTATCGCTGACCTCATCTGAACTCAAGCATAATCACCCTCATCCTCACATACGTAGTGGCCCATCAGGAAGGGCGAACCTTCAGCAATAAGCTTGGCGGCCAGCTCATTCCCCTCCGACAAGATTGGCATCACCCATCTCCGAATCAACTCCCCCCACTTGTTCTCGAACGGGAGCTTGTCGTTTACTGGGGTGACCCAAACCCACTTGTACCTCCAACCCTTGAAGGAATCCGGGTAAGATTTGGCCGTGAACAATCGATGACCCGCCCGTTGGGAGAGAGAAAAATAGCCTTGGGTGTCAGAGGTGCCAGATCTTACAGAATGAAAAAAAATGAGGAACAAGTCGAGGTAAGGTTTGATTTTCAAAGAAACACACCGGGCAATGAACCCGACGATAAACATGTGGGTAGTAGGAGAGAGTTGACCCGAAATGACACCATAATGGCGCAGGATGTCCAGAAAAGCGGGATGGATGGGGAATCGCAGCCCGACTTGCAGGCTCGCCAAATGGACCCGAAAATGGGAAGGCGAAGGAGGCTCCACTATGTTTTGGTCAGGAATGGGGCGGGAACTGATAACGCTGGGTCCGGCGAGGGCCACCGCCTCGCTGAATTCGGAAGCAGAAAGGGCGACGACCGGAACCCGTCGAGCGAAGTCCATGGAGAGGTAGAAATGCATCTCAACCCCACGGGAATCGACCGAAATCCGGGGCGATTCGAACTAGCCCCATCATCGGGAAAGATGTTATGAAGCGAAACGGAATTAGAGGAGGACATGGAACTGACCTGACAAAGGGAAATCAAGACGATGAAGGAAGTTCTTGCCACCTAGGGTTCCCAACCAAGAAAGTGAGAGGCTTGTGCGAAGAAGATTTTGCATAAGTTTTTACCAGAAGAAAGTGTGCGTATAAATAGCCGGATGCGACGACACTTTCCAAAAACCGCTTGGAAACCGCTACCCAAGCACTCAAGTGCTGAAGTTGGCATGACGGATTTGAAGTTGTGTCGAGTTGCAGGCTCATGACACATTAAGATCGCATTAAATGCTAAGCAACACTACATATCACGAAGGAAAGATCTGAAATTCAAAGGAAGGTGGCTCGTTACTCTTCTAAAATCAAGCCCGGCTTATTTTAGAGAGTAGGGGGCTCGTGATGGTACCATGGATCATTGGATCACAACCATGGCCCAAGATCGAATTAAAATAAAGCTCATCAACGGGACCGGCCCACTAATCGGGATTAATAATTAATAATAACCATTGGGCCTAACTAAGAATCCAACCCGTGAAAGAACCCACAACCAGGCGAGGCTGGACAGCAGTTCTGAGCCTGAGCGGAGTTCTAGCGAGGTCGGACTCATCCTAGAGCTTACGTGGTAGACAATCATTCAAACATAGCTATCTGGTAGTAACATGAAATAACGGAAGAAACGTGGACCTAGAGGAATAATGATTGCACAACGTTCGAGATGTTACGGGACTCTTATTATAATTAAATGCATTAAATGTACAAGTTTCTTCCTAAAATACTTGAACCTAAGGTCTATAAATACTTCGTGTACACATCCTACCAAGGATCCCAATTCCGGAATAATAATACTGTCTTACACTGCCTAAATTTCATCTGCTCTCGAAGATTAGCTCTCGTAGTTGGAATTAAACTCCATCAATGTCAAAGCTAACGAAAAAGATGAGCTAAAAATGTACAAAGAATAAAAAGTAATGACTTCTAAATGGCGAAAAGAGAAAAAAAAGAAAAAAAATGATGAGATTGTATCGAAAAGATCGATAAAAGGTGGATTTGTTTATCTAAGGTTTTTACACTAAATAAAAAAATACTACGTACTCCCTCTGTAGGGAAAGTGTGGGGATTTTTTTAAATATGAAACTTTTAAGGGAAAAACTTAACGAGGAAATTTTATGGAACTTTTAAATATGGAGGAAGTATGATATAACAGATCATCAATAAAAGAAGATAAGGCTTAAAGGTGAGATTGCTCTTGTTGAGGGTAAGTCCCGTAGATCCGAAAGCCCAACACGAACTTTGGATATATCAGGAATGGCCCAGAATCAAAGCGTAAAAGAAAATATAAGATCTGAACTAACTAAAACTCGAAAGCTCACTTGTATTAATTAACTAATCTGATTACAAGGAATTTCCCGATCGGTAAGTCGGAAACTATGCTTTAATACAAGAAGTAAGGGCAAATGATGCTATTCTAGAGCTTGAGTATTGAAATGCTAACCCTTACAATGACTTGAAACCATCTATTTATAATAATGAAGAGCATGGGCTGCCTCTTGCTGATTGGCCGTTGTTCCACCGACTTGGTCATCCATGCTTCCACTTGCTGACGTCATAGTCTGACATTAATTGCACCTGGCCACTTGCTGGTTGGCCGTTGCTCGAACGGGATGTTGGGCTGCACTGAAGATGCTGTCAAATTGGCCCAAGTATGATATATAGCCCGAACCTCGTTCGGTATGTCTTCTTACTGGGCCAATCTTTATTTGGGCCGAACTCCGTTCGGTATGTCTCCTTACTGGATCTTTTCATCATAGAGTGATGGGCCTGTTACTTGGGCCGGATATCTTGGGCCTTCCCGATCTGGGTATTGGGCCTCTAGGTCAATATCCCAACACAAGTCCCCCACTTCCGATGTCTCGAACGAAGTGAGTGCATCAGGAAGTATACCAATGTCATAATACCCCGAATGGCGATCGGGGTACAGAAGTAATGAGTTCCCCATGCTGCGATTTGACGGCTGCCGCTTCATTTCCCCATATTCATCATGATAACCGTCGTTTATTCTTTTCATTAGAAGCGTGTTTAGCTTAAATGCTCCTAGTGATGTGTCGCTCTCTGATTGGTTCTCGACACGGCGGTTTCGAGGCTATAAATTAGCCCTTAACTTTTCAACTCCGGGTTTCGACTCTGCAATTCCTTGGCCTTCGTTGTTTCCTCTGCAAATTTCCCCCTGCTTCCCTTGCTCAGGTAATTTCCCAACTTTGGATTCCCCATCTTCATTTCTGGCTTCGATCGAGATGAGCCCCAAAGAGCATTCCTCTGATTCGGAGATGGCCTCTCATGGAGATGACCGTGACACCGCCATTGTAGATGCCATCCCAGTTCCGTTTGCCGGTGTTTCTACTGAGACGGCGACGAATACCAGGGTTGAGGCGGAGGACCTCCCTAGCACTTCTTCTTCCTCCAGTGAGGATTCTGATGACACCAAATCCGAGGACGAAATAGCCTCCATGGCGGCCAGACGTCCCAACGATGTTCCTCGCCATACTCTTGACCTAAAATTGATTAGGGAGAGGAGGCAAAAATTGACCTCTCACAATAGGGCCGAAATTCCGGCCCTTATCCCTGACCCGGTGGATTTCCGTTTGCAAGTCGGGCTTCACCCAATGCGTCATAGGCCCGGAATGACCATAGTCCACTTTGACTCGATTAGGGCCGGCCTTAGATTTCCGCTACACCCCTTTTTCATTTCTTTCTTCAATTTCTACGAAGTTGTACCGGCCCAGATTATGCTGAACTCTTATCGAGCAATGGCGGGTTTCATTTGTCGTTGCAAAGATGCCGGCGCCCGACCAACCCTAGAACTCTTCCACCAATTTTTCAAAGTAGCCCCCCAACAAACCCATGGCTATCTGGCGACTAGTGCCCGAACGGGACATATCCTGTTCAAAGGAAACCCAACTTCGATCAAAGGGTGGAAAGACCGGTTTTTCTTCGTGTCCATCCCGGACAGTCTGATTCCCCACAAATGGAATGCCTTTCCCCGCAAAACCCCTGATCCTGTCCTCACTGAAGAAATCTACAAGGACGTGCTTGCTGTGGAGAAGGATAAATGCATGGACATCATGAATTATCTGACCCCCGAACGACTTATAACAGCCGGGATAGGTACTGCCCGTTCTCTTGGGTTTACTTGTTTTGATAAACCAAGTGCCTTGGTCCGAGCGGTCCTTCCCGTGCGAGAAACGTTCTTTTATTCTTTTTTCTAGTTTCTCACACGCTAGGGCCGCTCGATACTAACATTGTTCTTTGTCTTTTTTCAGCACCCAACCCAGATCTTCCTATGGATGATAGCAGAGTCATCGCAGCCGGTGGGGCCGGAAAACGGAAGAAATCCAGGAAGAATCCACAACCTACTCCCTCCATTATTCCCGCTCAGGAGGCTGCCCCTTCTGAACCGCTTCCAGAGCCTCAGCCAATACAGCAGGTCCACCAGGACCAATTAGAGGCCATGCTGATCGACGAGCAGTTCGGCTCTGATCAACTGCACCAATTTTCCCAGCATTTCGACTCCGTTCGGGGAGAACCCTCGAATGCTGGCGAGACTCACACCGACCATATTACGGGTCAGGTCGAGCGGATCTCCCTATCCGAACCTGTCCATGAGGTATTAGAGAGGGCCGGCTCTACCGCGAGCCAGATCTGGTCAACCTCCTCTTGGTTCAACAACTTTTCCCTTCCTCAGTTGCCGGTCGAGCAATCTGAAGAATGTCTGGCTCTGACTGCTCTGAAGGTATATTGTCTTTTGCGCTTTGTCTTTATTTTAATCTCTGTAACCAGTACTAATTCTCGAACGGTATTCTGTAGATGGGCTTGTACACCCTTCAGATGCGGGAGGCCCGCCTGGCCAAGGAGCGGGAACTGATTGTTGCCCAGTCTTCTGCTGAGCAACATGCTGCTGCTGCCATCGCCTCTCTGGAGGCCGAACGGAAAGCCTTTGCGGAGGAAAAGCAGAGGCTGGATGCTGAACTCGGTACCCTTCGGGTCCAACTCGCAGCTTCCCAGGCGAAGGTCCTTGCCGCTGAGTCCGCACAGGTTAGATTTGAGGAAATGCCATCCAGCATCCCGGACGGTCCCTATGAAATGAATGTGGATCTGTCCGCCGTCCGGGACACGTTTAAATCCTCTGATGAATTCTCCGCCATCAAGGATGATCATGCAAGGGCCCAAATCCCGTTCGCCTTTGGGGCGTATTTGAAGGGTTTCCCCAAAGGCGCTGGTCGGCTATCGGCAGGGGTGGCCCTCTTAGATAAGGACCCCGAGGCCAAAAAATGGAACGACTCCATTGTCTCAGACCTTTATGGCAAAATTGGCCAGGTCTTGCTGCGTCCCTTCGTCAATCAGCTTCAAAATCATCTGGGGAGGCCGGTTCAGGCTTCTGATCTCCCCGCAGATGACATTATCCAGACTCAGTTTGAGAAATTCTTGCGAGCTCAGCAGAGGGAAGCCGATCGGGCTGCGGGGAAAGAGCCTGAACCCCTGTCTGATGATGATGAGGATGAGGACGAAGAGGGAGATGAAATGGCCCCCGATCAATAATTCATATGTACTCTTGTAATTCTTGTTGTAATTTTCTTTTTTCCAAGTAAATTGTATTTCCCGGTCAGTAGCACCGATGAATATATATCCCTTTTTTGCCTGAAACTTTGCGTACTGTCTTTTCTGTCTTTAATGCATGATTTACTCGTCATTCGGGATTCGGCCTGTTTCGTAGGACTTAACAAATTTCCTAATTTATTTCTTGCTCAAATAATCTTAACGCCGTCGATCGCCGTTCGGGCATAAGAAAATTCTGATTATTTAAGGAAAACCCCCTTCTTCCCGGTACTCTGCCGTTCGGGATTCATATCAAAATTTTGGACTTAACACCTTCTCGCTTCAGATAATCTCTTACAACGTTTATAGCCGTTCGGGCTTCCGTTCAATCCTTAGGATAGCTTTTATGACGTTGATAGCCGGTCGGGCTTCAGGTCAACTTTTAGGGCTTAGCAGTTTTCTTGGTTTTCTTTGCACCTGGGCTTCTTCATAACATTGATATCCGGTCGGGCTTCAAACCAATTTTTAGGACTTAGCCGTTTTCTTTCAGATAACCTTTTACAACACTGATGGCCGGTCGGGCTTCAGGTTGACATTTTGGACTTAGCATTTTTCTAAACAGCAAGCCCCTATGATCTTTGCTAATCCTCTGTAAGCCCGTCCGGGGTACGTGCACAAAAAATGAATCATAAATACCCCAGATTAGTCGTAACCACCCAATGCCACGTGTTGCTCATGGATTAGGGATTTGTACGGCACTTTCCCTATTTAAGGAGAGGTGCTTCCCCCAATTTCTCCTGCTGTTTTCTCATTTTTCCTCAAGCTTTCTCTCTCTAGAATCCTCAGAATTCCCTTGCATACTCTCGGGCTTCCTCTCTCTAGAATTCCCAGAGTTCTTTCAGCGTTTTTTATGTACTACTCCTCTAGCTCAGAATCTGAAGAGATGCCTTTGATTCGCAAAAGCAAAACATCCGCTGGTAACCAGGCCGAAGGCTCTTCGTCCCAAACATCTAAACCTGCCAATCTTCCGGCCAGCAAACATATCGAACTGCCACAGGAGGACGGATGTCTGTCCGGAGATGACCTCCAAGTTTACAACAAGGGGATGCCCGAGCGGCCACCCCGCATTGCCCTACACTTCAATCGCATATGCAAACACAAACAACGTCTCCCAGAAGATGTTGAACGGCAACTCAGCCAGTTATTGCCCCCACCAAGAGAATACTATGCCGGATTCATTCGGCACCCTATGAGGCACCGACCGGGGCACGTGCTAGTGCACCTTGATGATCTGATTGCTGGACTTCGGTTCCCTCTCCATTCATTCATAGTGGAGTTCTTACGCCGGGTTGCTGTACTGCCCGCTCAGTTCGTGCCCAGCTCCTACCGCATTCTGACAGGCTTCATTATCCGGTGCCACGAGTTGAGGATTACCCCCAGCGTTGATCTGTTCCTTTATCATTACTGCTATCAGCCCTACTGGACGACCGGGTACCTGAAATTGGTAGCTCGTTCTGACCGTCAGCTGTTCACAGAGAACGTTACCCCGCAGGCTGAATGGGAGGAGCGGTTTCTGTTCGTTCGGGTAGGTGATTCTCTACCATTCCCGGATAGGTGGAACGCATATCCCGTTCGGGATTCTCTGCCCAGGGTAGACGCCGTTCTGCGCTCCCAAGCTGAGTCTTTGCGGATGGGAGGGACCAGAAGTCTCCGCAGCTTTGTCACCACTTCTAGCATGTTATCTGCTAGAATCGGTAAGCATAGTAGGGCTTTAACCCGATCATCCTTCGCTCTCACAATTCAACTTCTTATCTTTTATTTCTCTTTCTTGTAGGCGTGATATCTCCCATACCCGTCCGGCGCTCTATCTCTTCTGCTAAAGGGAAGGAGAAGATGATAGCCGATCGGGACTCGGCGGAGCAAACCCGAAAAAAGCGCAAAGGAAATGATGGTGATCACCTGATCCCGATCGACCATGTGGTTGATTTGACCGGGCCGGAGGTCGAGCCCAAAAGATCGGTGCCTGCCAACAAACCAACTCCGGTTCTTACTGCCACACCGATCGATGATCGGATGTTTGTTGAGTTTTCAAATATGGGGCCCAGATCAGAAGGGAGGTATCTGTTCGGGTTGATGCCATCTTCTATGTGGTGTCATACTGCGATCAAAGTTCCCCCGAGCTTCACCAACTTGACTCACGGGTCGGACCTTTTCGAAGCAGGTCACCAGGAAGCACTCAAGGTACATTTCATTCCGACCCATACCTTTCTACTATTCATGTTTTACCTTATCTGACTTTCATTGTAAC